AGTATTTCCCGGTCCATTCTAGATGATTCAAAGGAACAACCCGCCTCGGCTGAGGAAGAACCGTCCATCGAGAACCTCGACGTGGGATCCATAGCGCAGCATGCTATGCGGTGCATGCCATCACTCCAATTCATCGCCATTGGTTGTGCGGTCCCAGTCAGAAGACAAGTGTTCGAAGTTACCAACAGCGAAGACGGTTCCCAGAACGGCAAGGTGTTGGTTGAGCTGGTAGCGGGATGCGCGGGATGGAAGAAATTTCACGAGTCGGTCATGTATAAGCCGTGGTGGGGCGCAGATTGTTCTTGGTATTGGGACGAGTAGACGTACAGCAATCGCAGCACGCCTGCTGGAATTCACGTCTCGCTCATGACGATCATGATACCGAGAGTGCATAGCAAAAGCAGAGCCCGGGACTCATGAGTATTCATATCTCGACGATCTTAAGACCAGACGCGCGGACAGCACAGACACGAGGGGGGGACTGGCGTCTTGAAGTCAGTTTGAAAGCGTGGAGCTACTTAAGCTTCGAAGTTTCAAATCCCCCGCCGCGGACGGGCGCTCTCAATTAACGATTAAGCTCTGGCTCCTTCGTCGTCCACTTCGAATCCATTCAAGTTTGAACAAGCACACTCATGCCTGCAAGCAGTAAAAGAAATGCAGCTGATGCATTGGCAGACCAACGCGCTGGCAAAAAGGGCAAAACTATCTATACAGCCATCGGGTGGTGAGCCAAGTTCATCGCGCGGACCGACTCCCGCGGCACGATCATCGACCAAGGCGACCGATGCCACGAAGGATTCGAAGCGTGAGATCAACGTCGACACTCCGAAGCCTATCATTCGGCACGAGAAGAAGAACGGCAAGCGCAAAGCAACTGCGCCTCCCGCAGGTGGCGGGCCTGGCGCCGCCGCCAAGGCCACGCACCGCAAGCTCGCGCCACCTCGTCCGTTCCCTACCGTGCCCATGTCTGTCTCTGCCACTGGCCCACGTTCTGCGCATGTCCAAGGCAAGAATTACATATGCATCACACGCAAGACACCGCTGGGCGCATACCTCAGACGGTGCAAAGGTGTGACGCTGAAAGCTGGGTGCGTGCCAGTGGCAAGAAGTCAGTATGCCATGGGACTAACGAGCGGATTCAGACACAAGACGCTGCATCTTCACGCCATGGGAGCTGCGATACCGCATCTGGTGCAGCTGTCCGTGTCTCTGCCGGAAATACTGCCTTACGGCCCGGAAGAGGTCGAGACGGAGGTGATGACAGGCACGGTCGAGGTTCAAATGAAGTGATTCCGGAAGACTCGGATGAAGACATCTCGATTCGGTCGCGAGGCAAGTCGACGCTGAGTATCATTATGAAGATTGCGGACGGGAAGGACGAGGGAGCACATACAGGCAAGGGGAAGAAGAAGCCCAAGCGCGGAACTTCGGATGCCAGGATGGGCGATGTAGGGAAGCGGCAGCAGAGGCGGGTGGTCAGAGTGGCGAGAATGGTGGCAAGAGCGGGCGGGATGCCGGGGAGGGCGATGAGCGGGTGGTCTTTCGAGCTGAGGATGCGGAGGAGGAGCAACATAGTGGGCCTTTAGGCCTGATACTTGCAAGGAGTGGTCGCTCATACCGAGCTTATAGGGTTAATCTGGCTCCTGACACGTCCTCGCTCGCGTCTCACATGTATTAGTCTGCGGTATTTCACGCAGTTCACGTCACACTCGTTACGGCCGCAGGTTGCACTCAGCCTCGATATCTCCGCACTAGTCGGTAGAGATCCAGTCTCATGTCTCCATCTTTTCACCCTCGTTTCTCAGTGTCTTCCGGGCGGATTTTTCACACCACGGACAATCACGCTCCCGTGCGCGTGACGTCACGTCGCTTACGGAGGTCGTCAAGCCCACGGTGGGAATTTGGAAATTGCATATAAGGGCCAAGTGGAGCGCCGCGACTAAGGTTCGTTTCGTGCTCGTATCCCGACATCTCTCACCGCTACGCCCATCCTACACACCTCGACATGCCTCCCCGTGAGTCGCTCCTGCATGCTAGGATGGAACTCACGCTGACAGATGAGAGTAGGCGGCCAGAAACGCGCTGCTACTGAAACCGAGCCTCGCACGACGCGCTCCAAGGTCGCGAAGACCGACGCGCCAGCGAACGGCAAGGCTGCTGGGAAGGGAGCCAAGAGGGGTTCCAAGGTGCGCAAACCGTCTTTGTACGCGTTGTGCCCGTGCTGAGCACGCCGCAGGCCTCGCTAGGCGCTGCAGCCTTCAAGGCGAAGGCCCTCCCGATCCACGTGAACCTCACCCACACGCCGCCTGTCCTGGTAGAGGACGCGAAGGACATCGCACAGACGGACCCGGGGTTCATCGGCCAGACGTCGCTGGCGCCGACGACGTTCAGCACGGGCAGCTACGGCTGGAAAGGCACCAAACGCGTCACTATCGAGCTGGAGAACAACGAGACGGGAGAGATGGAGAAGGTGCAGGTCATGATGACGTGCGTTGGTGTTCGTTTGTCTGGTGGGCGTGGCGCTAACCGTGGGTGCGCAGGTTCAACGCGACTGTCATTGGCAGCAAGAATGCTCCAGGCGAAGATGAAGAGGTCGCGGAAGCACCTGAGGCTGAGACCTCTGCCGAGGCTGATGGTGAAGCCAAAGGCGAGAAGGTCGATGAAGCTCCAGCTGAGGCTGCTCAAGAGACTGCAGAGCCTGCAGCAGAGACAGCAGAGAATGCTGTAGAGATGGCGGAATAGGGACTTGTGCTGAACATTATATCTGCGCCGTCACGCGTAAGGTTTTTTTTCTTGGATATTCTGCCTGAAATTGGGACGCACGCATTCTATTGGCTCCATGTCACTGGCGCTTGGTGGTATATTTCCCCCGTCATCTCTCATACCCCAAACAGAAAGCCTATGCATCTCCCCTTGAACCTCATGTCTCTTGTCTTGCCTATCATCGCTCACACTGCACGAGACCGTTATTCTTCTGGGACGATAGAGCTCCGGATTTTTCAATGTGCCGTATTATATTGCATGCTATCAGTGCCGGCAGTTTGCCTTTGCAAGGTCTGCCGACTTTCTCTGGCAGTGGCTGCGGTTTTCGCAGCCAATGTGCGTCTCGTATTACACAGCTACTGTTTTCCCAACCTCAAGTGTTGACTTGTTGTATACCAGGTCAAATGAGGCGCTCTGATACGACTGCGCATTGGCAGGCGCGCCACCTGCTAACGTCAATCTGCCACACACATGTTCTCCAACTTTTTCCGCAACGGTCGCGGTCCCCTCCCTCCGCAGCAGACGCGTGGCTGATTGTGGCCCGAAGCGTCTCTGCAGCAGCAGCAGCAGCACACCCGCGTTCGAGACGGACGACACGGTCAAAAGTCAGTCGTCAGCTCCAATCTGCGCCACCACATGACCACGTCCATCGCTCGTGCTTTTGGTCATGGAGGTTATCTGAGGGGCCGCACATCGCTCGTGGCGGGCAGTCGCTCGGGGTCGAGCCCCGAGCTGGCGGCTTGCTCTATAAGCGACTGTGGACGCGCTGCCTCAGCCTGCCTGCGTGATATTCTCAGGCTGGCAGTGGACGCTCGCGGGTCTCGGCTCGCCGCCCGCCGCTCGGTGTACTAGGAACACACCTAGAAGCATACTTGGTTCTAGTCCGAAGAAGAGTCGGAGCTGTCGCTGTCGCTTCACGCGGAACACTTTGCTGGGCTGAGACGCATAGCTAGATGTGTTGCGTCTGCGTTATCGAATGGGGTGTGCGGTGACCGTGCTTCTGCCGCAATGTGATAAACAGCAGTTCTCGTGACAGTCCTTAAGGTTCGTTTCAGAGGGAACGCAACGGCACTCCATGGCGCTACAGAGTAATCAATGCAGAGCGGTACGCAGCACGCGCACAATGGAAAGGTGGCACGGAAATTCGAGAAGCGGGGTGCCTATTAATATTGCTGCCGCAGAGGGTGGAGAGACTGAGTACGAGCGCTCCGTTTTCGACGGCCGAATACTGTGGCGTACAGCCAGGTATCTGTGAGGAGGACGGGTCCTGGGGCCCGTATGTGGAAACCGCATTGCCACATCGTCGCGAACCGGTGCTTCACGAGCGAGCACCAAAAATGGCGCAGGCTCGGCGATCCCTTGGATCTCGCATCTGGCGAGAGCCCGCGAGTTCGCTATGAAAAAAGGAAGCAGCGGCGTGGGCCAGCACGACGGCTCACGATTAAAAAATGCCTGCCAGGAAGGAAGCAGCAATGGAACTAACCGACATTAAGCCAATCCTAAAATCTGCATGGAAATCTCAAGGGGCGTGCATCGGCCTCTGGCAACCGATCCGATAATCAGGCGACGAATCTGGAGAAGAGTTTTCGATCGGGCCCATGGGCACGCACCCGGCGCGACGGGAAGGGGTTGCTGCATGCAGGGCACTCGGTGGGTATGGTTGCTCGAGTTGTCTGCACGAGGCAGGCAGGAGAGGGGGGAAGGGTGTGCCGGAGAAGGTCGATTGTGGGGTGGACCCGCCTCATGCTCATTTCGCGCCTGATGCACCTAGTTGGTGCGGGCCGGTGCTCGCTGGAGCGGAAGAGCAGCTCGGTGTGCGCGCAGAAAATGGCCGTCTCGTGCCTCGGTCTCAGTGAGGCGGCGAGAACGGCGGGTGGTCGGGGGAGCTGGGGCACCCACAGGGGCAAATACAGCTAAATAGCAATGTGGGAGCGGGCTTCCATTCCGGGGAGCGCGCGTGTAGGCGCTGGGGGAAAAGGCCAGCACCATGTGCGTGGGCTGCCTCATGTTGGCAGTGAGGGCACGACGATGATACGCCTCCCTTGCCCCCATACCTCCTCGATCTGCCTCCGCTGCTGGCCGTCTCGCCCGCTTATCCGCGCTTGGGAGCGTGCTCCGACAGCGAGGTGCGTTGTCGAGGACGGGAGGACATCCTGGACAACATCGGTTGCAGGACTGCTCACAACGACAAGCCCCTGGAGAGAGACTGGTGAGTGATTCGTCCAGCTCGCTCCCGAGCAAGCGTCACCGACCTGCCGCATCTCCCTGTGATCTGGCCCCCACCACGCCTCTGCGCTCCTTGCTTCCCACTTTTTCCCATCTCCCCTCGCCAGCTCTCCTCTCTCCCTTTCCGCTTACGACCACCAGTCACGACACTCTAACGAACGACCCGCTCCACGATGGGCCTCTTGGATCGTCTGAGAGGGAAGCTCGACATCGTTTCGACTCCGACCGCACCCAAGATCGGCAGGATACCTCTCCCCGAGGTAGATTCACCTGCCCCCGTGAAGCTCACCCTCAATGTGGCGGCGAGCTACGTGGACGACGGCTCGTCGTCGTCCAGCAGCGGCCACACGCCCTCGCCGGGGACGCCCGTCAAGCGGCGCCGCATCCCGTCCCTCCTCTCCCGATCGTCCACGCCCACGGTCGTCGCGTCGTCCCCGCCGCCCAAGCCTCCCAAGACCCCGTCCTGCACGGCGCCCCAGGCACCCGAGCTCGTCGCGCCGACGCCACGATGGAAGACCGCGCCGTCGCTGATGGAGCAGGGCTGGAAGAACGTCGCCTCGCCTGAGCCCGCGCCGAAGCCGGCGCGGCCAGCACGGACGAGGGCGGCCTCGATGGACGTCGTCGTGCCTCCGCCGCACCGCCCGTCCCCCTCGGAACAACGGACGGCGGCCGCGAAGGACAAACCTCGGGCGATGACGCCACAGGTGGGGCAGCACCAGCAGCGGCCGAGGCCTCCTTCCACTTCGCACAGGCCGGAGCGAACGGACTCCCCAATGAAGACGGGCCACGCACCATCATCCAAGCCCCGCCGGGCGTCTGCTTCCCAGGCGCGAGCAGACACCCCGCCGTGCGTGGTGCCGCCACGAGAGCCCGCAGGAGAGCCCCAGACGCCGCGCGTCCGGTCGGCGTCGCGGGCGACGGACAGGGCAGGCGCGACCGCGACCGCGAAGCGGGCGCCGCCGCCACCGAAGAAGGGCATTTTGAAGCCGACAGGCCCGACGCCCGTGGACACCTCGCTGCTGGCCCCGAGCGAGCTGCCGTCGCAGCCGCCGACGCCGGTGCCGCTGCCCACGGCGGCGCCGTTCGGGCTGCACTGGCAGCTGCTGCCGCCTCGCGCGGCGCCTGGGCGGTACGTGCGGTTCGACGCGGGGCTGCCGGTGTACCTGATCAAGCGGCACACGGGCGGGGGCGCGGCTGCGGGGACGGAGATGCTGGAGCGCGACTTTTGCAAGGCGGCGGTGGAGGGCGTGCGGCTGACGCGGATGACGCTGCGGTGCGCGCAGCTGCGGCACTGGCCGGACATCGTCGTGTGGAACCCGAAGGGCGTCACGTGTGGAGACGTGTTCGACGCGGTGTACGACATGCTGCACACGCCGCTGACGGAGCGCGAGTGCGCGCGGCTGCTCGAGGGCGAGGAGACGCGGCGGCGGGTGGTGGAGGCGTTCGCGCAGCGCTGCCGGGACGCGCCGCTCCTGGACGAGTACGTGCGGCAGCAGGGCCTGCGGCGCATCGACGTGCTCGAGGGCAAGCGGGTCTTTGCCGGCATGCAGCTCGTCTCGGGCGACAGGTGCGACCTGTGGCAGATGAGCTTTGAGAGCCCCGCATGAGCCTGTGCCACCGCTTGCTCGACGCAAACTGTAAAGGGGGCCGTGCCGTGCGTCTGCTGCGTCTGTTATGGTCAGTGCTGGGGCATGTCGGCGCGGTTACGTCTGTCGGCTCACCGTGATGGCCAGTGTAGGGCAGGATCCCTGCTCGCTCGCTCGCTCGCTCTCTGGGTTTGTTGCCTCGCCGTCATGGCTGGAGGCACCCCCACTACTTTCTGCTGTCACCTTGACCCGCGCATATATGCTCTCCATTTTTTTTGTTTTTGTTTTTGTTTTTCGCTTTCGGTGTTGCTACACTTCATGGACTCTCTCCCACTCACACACTCTCGGATGCACACGTCATCGTCCCCATACTTGCATTGTCTCCTTCTCTCTGTCTGTGAACCCCACGCTAGCCCTCATCATTTGCACCCTGCTCAGCCCCCCTGCACGCATTCTGTCTACCTTATTGTATCTCGTATGCATCTGTCGCGCGCCTCCGTCGCTGTAACACCACTCTTGCAGCGCTCTGTGTGCGCGTGCGCGTGTGATCGCTGCCCGGTGAGAGACCCGGGCGTGTTCGAGAAAGCTGGTAGGGGGTCTGGGCCCCCTGTTGGTGACCCACCCGGAGAAACCGAGCTGGCGCGCGTGGGTCGGCTGACCTGGGAGCTGTCAAAAGCCGCATTCGAGCGACTGCGAGTGCTGGTGCGGGCGTGAAGTGCAGGAGATGTGCGATCTGGAACGCGCGGGCAATTAATGGCCTTGCTAGTCGCAAGCGGCGGTGTTGGTGCGTCGTGTGCGGTTGTTCGAAATCTTGGTGTGAGGGGGCCGGGTTCACCGAGATGGATACGTCATGGACAATATATGCTCGTTTTGGCGAGGGCTGAGCCTCCTGTCATGGGCCTTTTCCACAGCTCAGCTCTGGGCGCGCATCGCTGTCAGAAATATCGCAGGGGTTTTTTTTTTTTTTTTTTTTTTTTTGGAGGATGGACGACTGGGGAAAACGGTGCAAGAGCGACGTGGTCGGTCGCGAGCTGAGACAAAAAACGAGACAGACTGCTGCGTGGCCTTGAAAGAAAAAAAAGGCTGCGTCGTGGCGCGGGGCTTGCCGCAGCTGGCGCCCGCTTCGAGGGGCTGCGGACAGCGGCGACGCAGCGACTTCAGTCAGAGATATACATCGTGTTGCAGAGCATGATCGCAGACAGACGTGTGTAGAATACAGAGAGAGACGAGAGATACAAAAGAAAGAAAAAAGAGAGACTAGAACATGGCTTCACGAGGTTCCTCGAACCGGGTGTCGTGCTCCATCCGTCCAGCAAAACCCGAGCTCAAGCCCAGCGCCGTCCAACTGTCGTGCGATGACGCAGAGGCCCCGAACGACGAGCGCCGCGAGGGAGCGAACGAGCCGCCCCAGGCGGAGCCGTCCATGTCAATGTCGGACACAGAGTCAGACAAGTCCGACAAGCCGTCTGACGTGCTGTCGCCGTCGCCGTCATGCTCGCGCTCGGCGGCGGCCCACGCGTTGTGGAACACGAGGTCTGCCAGCCCGGGTGGTGTCGGCGGCGGCGCAGCGGCGCGCGCCCACTCGTCCGTCTCCCGGACAAAGGACGCAGAGAAATCGAGGGTGGGGAGCACGAACGACGCCGCCGGGTCGATCGCAGCTTCCAGCGGAGAGTCGACATCGAAGCCCGACGTCTCAGAAGACAGGGCGTCGTCCACGCCGGCCTCGGTCGCCACGTCGCCGGGGTCGTGCTCGCGGACCTCCTCGAGGACGCACCAGCCCGTGCCGGCCTCGCCGAGGACGCCCCGCACGCGCGCCTGCGTCCAGCCCGCGAACCGGACCTCGAGCACGGTGCAGAGCCCGCTGCGGTCGCCGTACGCGGACGTCGAGACGCCGGGTGCGTCGAACACGCGCGCCGCGTCCAGCCGCGCGAACACCGTCGAGACGCGCAGCGCGTGCGTGTCGTGCACGTGGTGCATCGCCGCGAGGTGTGGCAGCGGTAGCAGCGGGTGGTGTGCGTTGTGCGCTGGCGGCGTCAATGCTAGAGGCAGGCGCGCGGTCGGCGTCGGCGCGAGTGGGACGAGCAGGTAGGTCACCACCTCGTCGGCGAGCACGGGAAAGTACCTGTCGAGCTCCGCGCGGATCTCTGCGTCGTCAGCAGTCTCGGCCTCTGCAGCCGCAGCCTGTCGTGCGGCGCGGACGGGCTGCGACAGCATCTCTCCGCGCGCCCTCCTCTGCTGAGTCTCCTCCTCCTTCTGGTACTTCCGCATCCTCGCGCGCTCCCTGTCCTTCTGCACCCTCACGTCCCAGTCGGCCTCCCAGAACGCGCGGCCGGTGACGGGCACGTTCTGCGCGAGGTTGTCAAAGAGGGGGCGCGCAGTGGAGAAGGCGCGCGCGGTGCCGAGGCCGACGTCGAACATGCTCCGCGGGACCGCGGCGGGGGCGCGCGGCAGCGAGGGTGCGCCGAGCGGCCGCGCGAGCGTGAGGCGCGTCGCGGACGGGAGGCGCTGTTGGACGGACGGGAAGCGGTGCGCGTGCTCGAGGAGCGAGCGCGAGCCGTGCGCGGCGTGTGGCGGCGGCGCGAAGGCCCCCGGGGCGGTGAGGTGCCCGGCGACGGTCGAGAGGAAGGTGCGGGCGTGCCTGAAGAGGGCTTGGACGCTGGAGCCTGTGGGCCGCGCCGCCGGGGCGGGGCGGGGGAGGTGTGCGGGGGTGTGTAGCGACCTGGAGGGGTTGCCGAGGGTGTGAGGCTGGTGCCCGCGGAGGGCACGCAGGCCCGACGACGCGAGCTGCATTGTCGAACAGTACTCTGAGAGTCGTTCGACGGTGGTGGTGGTGGTGGTGGTGGTCGCTGAGTGAGGGCAGCTGCAGCTCTGGGCCGCCTTTTGGAGTGCGGAAGGAGTTGTGCCGATCGCACTCGTGTACCCGGCCGGCAGTGGCATCACCACGTGGCTTGGGGCTTTTCGCTGGATTAGGCAGCTGTCGCGGTCCAGCGTCTCTGTCCGGTGCTGTATTCGAGGCTTAGCAGCCGCGTCCTACTGCGGGAGTCCCAACTCTCACGTACCGGCGGCGTGCCACGAACCATAAGATCAGTCGGTGGTAATAGCTACATGGGAGACGATGAGGAGTAGTGTGGATGCAACAACATCCTCAAGCTTTTGTCCCCCGGCCGCCGTGGATTTAACCGTCAACTGGGTGGCCCAAGGAGACAGCATCTGAAGCTAAAGCTATATTATTACGACACAATCAAAGGTGAACAAAGCATGAAAATTTCTGTGCAAAGCAGCGATCAAGCTTTGACCCCAAAGGTATGAAGACTTTTACTCGAGGCGCCTGAGGGCTTACGCACAATGGCCCTCGTAATCAATATCACGTCACGCACGCGGGAACGTGACTTGCGTACAAGCTTGCGTGTGATGCAAAAATCCGCCCTGGCGACAACATGAAAACATGCACCTGGATCTCAGCAGACAAGTGTGGAGATATCAAGGCTGGATGCAACCCGCGGTCGTAACAGATGTGAGCCACGTGAAAAATTACAGATAAAGGCATGCAAGCAAGGAAACGGCCAGTTGCTGCAAATCCCACAGGTTTAGTATGAGCAGCCTTTGAATGCTGAGCCTGCAGAGTGCCGGGCCTAAAGCTTAAAGACGCACCACTTCACTTCACCTCCTCATCCTCGGCTCAAAAGACCACCCGCTCTGGCACATCGCCTTCTCCAGCCTCCCGCTTATTCTCGCCATTCTGACCACCCCGCCTCCACTTCCCTCAATCACCCATCCTGACATCCGAAGTTCCGCTCTTGGGCTTCGTCTTCCCTTTGCCTGTATGTGCTCCCTCGTCTTTGCCGTCCGCAATCTTCATAATGACACTCAGCGTCGACTTGCCTCGCGACCGAATCGAGATGTCTCCACCCGAGTCCTCCGGAATCACTTCGTCTTGACCCTTGACCGTGCCCGTGACCACCTCCGTCTCGATCTCTTCTGAATTATACGACAGTATTCCCGGCAGAGACACGGACAGCTGCACCAGGTGCGGTATCGCAGCTCCCATGGCGTGAAGATGCAGCGTCTTGTGTCTGAATCCGCTCGTTAGTCCCATGACATATACTGACTACTCGCCACTGGCACGCACCCAGCTTTCAGCATCACACCTTTGCACCGTCTGAGGTATGCGCCCAGCGATGTCTTGCGTGTGATGCATATGTAATCATTGCCTTCGATGTGCGCAGAGCGTGGGCCAGTGGCAGAGACAGACATGGGCACGGTAGGGAACGGACGAGGCGGCGCGAGCTTGCGGTGCGCGGCCTTGGCGGCGGCACCAGGCCCGCCACCTGCGGGAGGCGCAGTTGCTTTGCGCTGGCCGTTCTTCTTTTTGTTGCGTTGAATGACAGGCTCCGGAGTGTCGACGTTGATCTCACGCTTCGAATCCTTCGTGGCATCGGTCGCCTTGGTCGATGATCGTGCCGCGGGAGTCGGTCCGCGCGATGAACTTGGCCCACCACCCGATGGCTGTATAGATGGTTTTGCCCTTTTTGCCAGCGCGTTGGTCTGCCAATGCATCAGCTGCGTTTCTTTTACTGCTTGCAGGCATGAGTGTGCTTCATCAAACTTGAATGGATTCGAAGTGGTGGACGAAGGAGCCAGAGCTTAATCGTTGATTGAGAGCGCCCGTCCGCGGCGGCGGATTTGAAACTTCGAAGCTTAAGTAGCTCCACGCTTTCAAACTGACTTCAAGACGCCAGTCTTCCCCTCGTGTCTGTGCTGTCCGCGCGTCTGGTCTTAAGATCGTCGAGATATGAATACTCATGAGTCCCGGGCTCTGCTTTTGCTATGCACTCTCGGTATCATGATCGTCATGAGCGAGACGTGAATTCCAGCAGGCGTGCTGCGATTGCTGTACGTCTACTCGTCCCAATACCAAGAACAATCTGCGCCCCACCACGGCTTATACATGACCGACTCGTGAAATTTCTTCCATCCCGCGCATCCCGCTACCAGCTCAACCAACACCTTGCCGTTCTGGGAACCGTCTTCGCTGTTGGTAACTTCGAACACTTGTCTTCTGACTGGGACCGCACAACCAATGGCGATGAATTGGAGTGATGGCATGCACCGCATAGCATGCTGCGCTATGGATCCCACGTCGAGGTTCTCGATGGACGGTTCTTCCTCAGCCGAGGCGGGTTGTTCCTTTGAATCATCTAGAATGGACCGGGAAATACTACAGCTCGGAAGCGCTGCCTGTACGCCGTCC